GACGTTGGAAAAGAGCAAAGGGGCAGACCAGTCTGTACAGAAGAGTGGCCTCCACTTACGCGTACGCAACGCTCAGAAGAGCCGCAGCAGAAGCCGTCTTCTTCAGAGCAAGCTGCTGCAATGGAAGACTTGCGGAACACAGATCAGCAAGTGATAGCTGTTTTGCGACCCTTAATTAACGCCATTCGCTTGTTAAGCAACATGTACACACCATCAGCAAGAAGTACATTGCAAATACTGGACGCTTTGAGTCCGGTACTCGCGGCGCTTGAGTAAATAATGGCTCACCAGCCACTGTCTTTCAGAGAAGAGGTCTGAAAGGCAGCGATTATTCAATGGAATGCCCGGGGACTGAGGTCACGCATCGCCGATTTCTGTCGGTTCGTGTACATCAATAAGTTCCCCATCATTGTCATCTGCTAGCCAAATTAGCAGAAAGAAATCAGACTTTCTGGTTATGAGTCATTCATGTCGTCTACAACTGCGAACAATAGCAAAGTACTGATGTTTATTTGCCGCAACCTCACCTACATTCATCATCCGGTGTCACCCCACAACGACAATCAATATGTAAGTGTAACAGTGAAAAGGAGACTTACCATCACGGTTGTGGGTGCCTACCTTTCTCCGTCAAGCTGTTTCGACCATACAAGACAACAAGGTATCCTGTCAGGAAATTCTCGCCTATGCATTATAATTGGCAACTTCAATGCCCATCATACAGTCTGGGGAAGTTCGAAGACCAATGTTAAAGGGAGAAAGTTGGTGTCCTTCGCCTCCGACAACCGACTTTTCGTGCTAAATGATGGCAGTCCAACGTTCCTACGTGGTTCAAGGTATAGCAGCTGCCTTGACCTGGCCTTTGTCTCACGAGGCCTCGTCAGGCATGCTGAGAGGTTTCCAGACATAGAAACGCATGGAAGTGACCACATTCCCACTTACGTCAAAATAGAAGGATTGTCCCATGCTAAAATACGCGATAGTGTTCAGAGAGTGGACTGATTGAAATTCTAGTCTCGCATGGAAGAGCAATGCGAAGCAAGCATATCCCTCGACATAGAGGAGATAATTAAAAGCACAATACACGATACTACGTGTACCCTCACCAGCTCTCCCAAAGTAACGGAATTTGACATCGAGCTAGAACGACTTCGAGCAATCCGACGGCGTGATGAACGAAGATACCGACGCATGGAGGCAATAGAAGACTTACGGAGTGCTCGACGTATACAAAAGATTCAGCGCCGGACAAATAAACTCGAGTCACAACGTTGGACTGCTTTTTGTGAGTCACTTGACCCACGAAAACCTTTATCCCAATTGTGGAAGACAGTACAAGGTCTCCGCACAAAACCCACTTAGCGGTCACCATTCAGGGCTCTCGCACTTTCTGAACAGAGACGCGGCATTGACATGGCAGAAGACTTCTGTGCCAGAGTATCTGGGCCACTCGCAGAGCCCAGTAGCCTATTGTCCTCGACTAACTGTCCACAAACACTGGATTCCCGCATGGATATGCCTTTTTTCACCGTGGAGCTCAGAGCAGCACTAGCATTGTGTGGACGCACGTCGGCACCAGGGCCCGATAGAATTTCTTATAGGGCCTTGTGTCATCTGGGTGAACGCGCGAGAATCCTCCTTTTGGAGTTGTACAACAAATCCTGGCAAGACGGAACAATCTCGACAAGCTGGAAGACAAGTCGCCTAGCTCTACTTCTGAAGCCATGCAAGTCACCGTTGGAGCTCTCATCTTATCGTCCGATCGCACTGGCCAGTTGTGTAGGCAAAGTTATGTAGAGGATGATCCTGGGACGCCTAGAGTGGTTCTTGGAGTGTATCAACATCTACCCAGATGCCATGGCAGGATTTCGGCGTGGTCGAGCATCGATTGACAACGTAGTCGACCTGGTCACTTACATCCAACACGAGAAAGGCCGTAAGCGTCTCTGCGCATCTTTGTTCCTAGACGTCAAAGGGGCGTATGACAACGTTACGCATGAAGCTGTTCTCACCGCTCTCGAAGATATAGGAGTAGGTGGTCGGATGTATCGCTGGATACGTAGTTATTTGTCAATGCGATCCTTCTTTGTGAGCACTGAAGACGGTCCAACCTCTCCACATTACAGCCACCGTAGCGTCCCCCAGGGTGGTGTACTCAGCCCTGTGCTGTTCAATCTTACGTTAATTGCTCTCACTGAGCATCTGCCAAGCATGGTCATGCTATCAATGTACGCAGATGATATCTGAGTTTGGGCATCGACTGTAACACGCCTGCAGTTACGAGGGAGAATTCAAAGAGCTGCCACTGAAACATTACGCTACCTCCGCAATCGAGGCTTGGAAATTTCTTCCGAGAAATGCGCCCTCGTAGCTTTTACACGAAGGCCTATGGATAAATACACTATAAGCATCAATGGTCAAACTGTACCATACGTTCGATCGCTTAAGTTTTTGGCGTCATAATTGACAGGAATCTATCATGAAACGATCATGTTTCGTACATGAAGAAACGGTTAATGGACATCTGTAATATACTGAAGTTCTTTGCAGAGAAGAATTGGGGAATGTCTCCCAGTGCAATGCTACAGCTGTACAGGGTACTTTTTCTCGGTTTTCTGTGGTACAGTTTACTGGCATTCACAAATGCAAGCAAAACAAGCCTTCGAACGCTACAGAGTGTTCAGTCCCAGGCACTCCGGATTTGCCTCGGCTTGCCTCGTAGTGCGTCGACAATGGCTACTATAGCTATCGCCGGTGACCACCTCATCACGACACATATAACGTTGAGGCACTCAGGACACATATAAGGCATATTGCTCGGACACCCTGCCACAACCTAGCCTCTTTACCAGCAGTCAGACCACGTTCGTCATTTTGCTGAACGGTCACCACATATCGCGATTCTTTGCCAACATGCTTCACACCCGCCACCAGGCCTTCGAATCCTCCCTGGTGCCTGACTCAGGATAACATCAAGCTAACTATACCTGGCATCCAGAAAAAAGCAGATATGTCGTCACCTGCTCTTACACAGCTTGCTCTGCTCTTGTTATATGAGACGTATCAAGGCTGTATACACGTATACACCGACGGCTCTGTTTTACAAAAGAGTTCAATGGCATCATTTGTTATACCGATAAAAGACACGACAAGAAATTTCAAGACCTGCCACCTTACGAAATAAACGGAAGCAGAGCTCACAGCTCTTCGTGCCGCATTGAAATTCATCAGCGATCAACAGCCACAAAAATGTGCAATTTTCAGTGACTCAAAGGCGGCACTGCAATCCCTTCTATCACCTTTACGCCACGGCCCGTACAAACAACTGGTATTTGAGATTGCAGAAAAGACTCACCAATTCATTGAGGAAGGACATGAAATAGCTTTTCAATGGCTTCCAAGTTATTGTGGAATAATTCGCAATGAACGGGCCGATCGAGCTGCCCTTTCTGCCCATACTGAAAGCGATGAAATATCAATTCCGCTTTCCAGAACTGACGCTGCACGGAAACTCCGCATGGTTGCTCGCAAGTGCACCACGTCACAATAGAACGAGTCACATTTCATCCATGCTTGGTTAGGTACTTTAGACCCAAGTCTCAGTCGTCGAGTTCCTCCGGAATTACGCCGACGAGACGCTATTATGCTGTGCATATTATGGTTGGGCGTCGCATTTACCAATGCGTACGCGTTCCGCATAAGAATGGCTGACACTGCTGCATGCGACCATTGTGGCAGTGATGAAACAACTTGGCACATTCTGTGTGAATCCGCACAATACTGCTTGCAGAGACAGTCACTCTGCAATGCACTAGATGAACTGGACAACCAGCCTCTTTCGGAAGAAAGAATCCGGCGCTGCCGACAGGACTTTATGTCGCAGAAAAAGGTTGTGAAGGCGCTCCTGCGCTTTTTGCGTTCAACCGGCCTGTCCAAACGACTGTGATCGGAACTCCCTGAATGTGTGCGCATGTGGTTTTTTTCTCATTTATTTTATATATCTCTCTATCTATCCTCTTTCCGACCCTTTTCCCCACCCCCGTACAGGGTAGCAAACCAGTTCGTCTAGGTTAACCTCCCTGTCTCTTCCTTTTATTTATTTCTCTCTCTCTCTCTCTCTAGGCCTTAGTACATCGTTTCTAAAACATACGACCTCAGACAGAATGTACGTTGCATAGTCTGGATGACGGAACAAAATATACTATGACCAGCAAAGAGAACATACTGTTACCATGGGCTTGGCCGCCAATCACACCAAAATGCTCCCAATCAAGGCTTCGTTACTTCAAGATGATGGGCTCTGCGACTATATACATTTAGTGACAAGATGAAAATATGTTCTCGTGTGCATCAAGCTCTACCTTTCCCTCTTTCCTTTGACCCCACATTCTCTTCTCTAAGATTGCAAATTGTGAATATCATAGCTAACTAACTTGCATTTGTTTCATTCTACCTCTAGCTGTCGAAAAACCGAAAATAACAATGAAGCAACAATCACAGAAAGGCAACAGTACACCTGCAGAATATGTGTCATTGTTATTAGATTTATTACGTCATGCAGGTTGAAGTGCACTTTGAAAAGGACAAAGCTTGCGAACATAGACGGACCGCACGAAGACACTCAGGCACACACAGACGGAAGCGATTCTGTCTGTGTGTGTGTGTGCCTTCCTGTAGTTACTGTTTACAAGTGATACCCCTTTCCAAATGCGTTTCAAACTAACCCAAGAAATATCTCTCTTATGAAGAGCATGCTTATATCCATTTACCAACTTAACTTGGATATATCAGCACGTGTATGAAAGAATGTATGGAGTAGCCGCTGAATACCAATTTTATTTCAATACTTTTTTAATATATGTATATTTGTATATTGTGCTGTATTTTGAGTTTTCTTGTACACATTCATTCTCCCCGGCTCAGATGTGGTGTGAAACTTACGTATGCGTAATGAGCGTAGGCGTTTTAAGTATTTAGATTCAAGAGGAAAATTTGACCAATTCAAGTGAGGGAAGCCAGCAGTATATTTTTGTCAATTTATTAATTTCAAATTCAACACTCAGTGCTGTCTGTTTTTTTCGCTTCGGGAAAGAAAAGGACAGTACTGAAATTTCGCTAAGTTGATATCCAACGGAGCGCTGATACTGCCGCAGAAAAACTGAGCTCTATTGATGATTCTGTAAGGAACACATAGCAAAAAGCTACCACCCTTGTCAACATGCGTCTTTGCTATAGTAGAACAATGAAAAGAAAAAAAAATGGTACATATGGTAACCACAATGAACAAGAGTCGTGAAGAAAACATGGTAACGAAAAAATAGACAACAATTTCATATCGACTGCAACGACGAGAACACTTTGCTTCGGTATGCGACTTCTTATACGACGCCGATGCTGGAGTGGGTGGCACCTTAACATTTCCTTCTAATGCACTGGGTATATCGAAAGGAAACAGCGAACGTAGCTGTGCTGCGCACTCAATTCAGTTTTGAATAGTCTAAGAATAATCTTTAAAAGCCTAATCATAATGTGTGTTAGGAAAACATTATAATGCTTTTGTTTAGAAGTTTTGAGTCGCCTAAGAATAAAAATTCTGTTTCACGTCGTGTTTTCATAATATGTCGTAGGTATAACGACAGAGTGTTTGGTGGATTGAGGTCTGGAAGTAGTTTCGCAACAGCTGCCGTCAAAGTGAACACTATCAATTGTCCTTTCTGACGGCCTCAGTCACCACCGGCACCACCCATCATCATAGGTGACCCATAGCCACCCTGCGGCCTGCGACCCCGGCCTCCACCACGAGGTCTCTGCGGAGCACCCCCTGGCAGCTGGCCGGACCCGTCTTGGCCGGGATATCCGGAACCACCTGAGTATGCCCCGCTGTCAGACGTGTAGTAGCCACCACCTCCGGCACCACCAGCAGTGGGGCTTGGGTACTCAGGCCCTTGCCATGCTCCACCTCCTCCGGGTTGTGCACCTTGAATTGGTGACAAAGGTGCCGTGTCATATCCGTTTGACCACGAAAAAGATTTCGAACTGCCATAAGAACCGCCACCGCCAAACCCACCACCACCAATCGGTCGCCGGGCACCGTCACCCGGTTTAGAAAAGCCAGCCGAGCCGGGACCAGGCGAATAAGGTGACTCGATCTCGAGAATGCTTTTTTTGTGGAAAGTAGAGCCACCTGCTGAGTGGGTGTAACCGTCGTAGACGCTACCGCCTGATCCCGGAGACACGGCACCTGCTGTTCCAGCTATAGGAAACAAATGCGCGTCGATAGAGTCAGGATAGCCACCACCTTTGCCCGAATCGGTATAGCTGTTGAAGGAGCTTGAGGAGGAGTACGAAGAACGTGCACTGTAGGCGGAGGAATAGCTACCGGCTCCTGATGCACCAGGACCAGTGCCTGCTCCCGGATAGGCACCAGACCCTGGTGAACCTGGGTACGTTGCAGGTGCTGGGCGAGGCCCAGTAGGAACGACGCTATATCCGCCGGCAGAAGGTCTTGAGCCACCTTGTGGAGACGCGGCACCAGCACCTGGATAAGACCCAGAACCAGGACCACCACCCGCCAAGTATGGGCCAGGGCCACCCGGTGCAGGTCCTGCTCCGGGTCCTCCGTATCCTCCATAACCACCAGGGCCTCCAGCACCCCCGGGTCCCTTGGGTCCACTTGGTCCTTTCGGACCACCAGGACCCCCCGCACCACCAGGACCTGTGGGGCCACTGGGACCACCATACCCACCGGGACCTCCAGGACCACTCGGGCCACCATAACCACCAGGACTTCTGGGACCACCAGCACCGCTCGGACCACCATATCCACCAGAACCTCCGGGGCCACCGGGACCACTGGGACCACCATAACCGCCAGGTCCACCAGGGCCACCGGGACCACTGGGACCACCATAACCACCAGGTCCCCCAGGGCCTCCAGGACCTTTCGGGCCACTGGGACCACCAAAACCACCAGGACCTCCAGGACCTCCGGGGCCTCCAGGACCACCAGGACCTCCGTAACCGCCTGATCCCGAAGGACCACTAAGTCCACCAGAAGGCTTTCCGGCTTGTCCACCAGAGCCTGGTTTTGGCCCAGAGCCGTATCCTCCTCCAGCAGGGTAGCCACCGGCACCAGGCCTACCGCTTCCTGATCCAGGATAACTGCCAGCACCAGGTCCTCCAGCTCCAGAGCCTGGATAACCCCCAGCACCGGGTCGGCCAGAACCTCCTCCTGGGTAACCACCAGCACCTCCGGGATAACCACTGGCACCAGGTCCACGAGGGCCACTTGGGTAACCACCTGTTCCTGGAGAGCCGGAACTTCCTGGGTATCTACCCGCGCCTCCCGCGCCAGCATAGCCACCAGCGCCAGGTGCCCCACCCCCTCCTCCTGCTGCTCCGCCTGTTCCACCGGGAAGGTAAGCTGGTCCAGGGCGACCTCCACCACCGGCGCCACCTCCGCCACCGGCAGCACCTCCACCACTTCCGGGCAGAGGCTGCAGTGGCTGTGGGCTCTCAACATTCACTTCGGCGTTCAGGTAGTACCAATTGGGTGCTTCGTCGCACTCGAAGCTGTACCAATAGTCACAGGCACGAATTTGCTGGTTGAAGATTGTTCCTGGTCCGCACAGGAAGCTCTCCTTTCGGCCATTGTGGCATACGTGGTAAACCTGTAAAGTGGCAGCCGTGCTAGCTGTTAGCATGAGTTTGAAGAGCAGTCTCAAACTATGCGAGAGGTATTCCTGACAGCATTACGCGAAAAGTATAAGCATACGTGGTTCTCAGGAGCTGAAGGAGCTGATTGGACTAAAAACATGGTATTGTATTCAATAATTTTGCTAGTTTAGTAATTAGGCAATCTGCTGTACCTTCTGATTATTGAAATTTTGACTGATATACTGATCACAATGGCTGAAGAGAAGTTACTACATGAAGTATAAAAAGAGAAGCTAAGGTTTATGTATAAAGCACCAAGCATTGCATTTTACGGCTCTGAAATGGTCGATCTATAAGAACATTGGTATGAGTTAATGGTTTTGGATGGCCTTACCTGACATTGCGCTTCCAAGTCCGCATACATGCCTTCGTACGGCTGCTGACTGCAGCGAAAACTTGTGCGGGGAATTTCCTTGTAGTCTGGGTAGTCGACGCCAGCGGTACCTCGAACCCAGCCTTCTTGATTTTGTCCCTTGCTTTCATCCCATCGTTTTGTCTGCGGCAGCGAAAAACAAATATAGTAGTGAAGCCTGCTAAATACTTACTGAAAGAAAGTACATTTATTTTTAAAGACGATAGTTTGTCTTGGGAACATTCGACGAAAAAAGTTTGGTCTGTCTGTCTGTACATCTTTCTGTTTGTCTGCCATTAACGATACCTCAAACGGCACCTAACGACCAACCCCATCCGCAGCGCCCACCAATATTGCTCAAGCTTCAGCGTTGATAGTTGTGCTTTTGTCAATTAAAAATCAGTTATTGCGTATATTTGAGGTGCCATAACAACACGTTGATGTTTTGTATATGTGCCTTTATACTAGAAGATACACACACAAGTAACTTTAAGGAGTGTAGCGTTTATCGCGCTGCGCTGGCAGTGCAACGTGATGCTCAAAAAGGTAGGTGTTTCCAACGCTTTGCTAAGACGACACGGTGGTGGCACCTGCCCGCCGTTTTGCGTTCTACACCTTATCACATCCTTGACAGGCGCGTATCTTTCTCTGCGGGCGCGCACGCCTTCGTTTTCGAAGATAACTGCCAGATGGAGCTCGTGTCTAACATGCCTCGATGCGCTCGTTCACCTCTGCTACACGCTCGAGGCACTCTAACGCAGCGCCTCCAGAATATCATACACGGATTTTCTTGCGCAGAACAACAAATAAACGTTTTGTTCACTCTCTCCAGACGCAAGACTGTCGTCTTTCAACGACATTCGCTGTGTAACAAGAAGATTCGTGGGCTATTTTTTTTACTATAGGGAAATGTGCTGTATTCGCAGGAGCAATGAGGTATTTTGAAGAGCCACTTACGAGGCTCCATCACAAATTTGAATTACACCATGACAGCTATGTGTCCCATGAAGAGCATTATGCCACAAAAATGTTTCAATCGGTTCATTACGAGCTGATAAAACTGGTATTTTGAAGCGGCGTGAAAGGATGGTGCCAGGAGTCAAGCTCGAAACTTTTGCCGCTCACCCCGCGTCACTTTCGCAAGCCAAATCTCTTTCCTACCTTCTTCGGCATGTGAGCTAACGGGAACGTGCTCACGACGTTCCCGAGCAAGCCCAAACACCGAGGACGCGAGTGGTGTTGTTTTGTAGACCAGCGTTACTTTGTGATGTAGTGCCTGTTTCTGCGGGATGGATGCCAATAAGGCTGATGTAGACGTGCGAAGATTGATGAGCATATTAAAAGCTGAAATGCGCAGAACCGTTAATTGTGATTCCAGGGCTGGCGTCTGATCGATGCGCTAACCGCGGGTACATGAACACCCGAGAAACGCAAGCACATTTGTCCGGAATCTCGTTGCCAGAGTTATTTGATTATACAAGTTGTGAAACTGCGTTCCAAAATCTGGACATGCAGTTGAGCCAACTCTTCGGGAGTTAGCTGATGTTTGCGCCACCTAGGAGCGCCAACACAAAACACAAACGATGCATTTAATAGTGGGTGTTATAATAAACATAAACAGGAGGCGCGACATTCTGCACACTTCCGAAGGGGGTGGGGGCAGTGGTATGCCCGGGTTTCGATACGTCGAGCCTATGGGGAGTTTCACAAATTATATGATTTAATATCTCTGTCGCGTTGCAATTCACAAAAAAACAGAAAAAGACGCACAATATACTTTTCTGTGTCTTCTCATTTTTCTGAAGTTTTGTGCGTCTATTCAAGCAACAAATTACACAAACTACACACGTCATGTGAAATAATTTTCTCGATTTCACATGCCACGTTGGCTTCGTCAGAGCACAGTCGTTTACGTAGAGGACCAACGTCACAGCACAACCATCTACGTACGGTAGTTCCTACGTCTGCGTCATGTCCTCATTCTTCATTGATATGTGGGGTTTAGCGTCCCAAAATCACCATATGATTATGAGAGACGCCGTAGTGGAGGGGTCCGGAAATTTCGACCACCTGGGGTTCTTCAACGTGCACCCAAATCTGAGCATACGGGCCTACAACATTTCCGCCTCCATCGGAAATGCAGCCGCCGCAGCTGGGATTAAATCCCGTGACCTGTGGGTCCGCAGCCGAGTATCTTAGCCACTAGACCACCGCGGTGGGGCCTGTCCTCATTCTCTGGACGCGCGCAACGATAAGAAGGCAAAGCAGCGTTCATCTTGAAATTTGTCCCACTTCCGCGGTGCGCAGCGTTGCAAATTTTTACAGATGTGGTCGTGAACGCCCCACGTATGCATTGCGCTCGTAAGCTAAAAATTGTCAAACCTGGTGGGTGGCCCTTTAAACGTACTGTAAGAAAGTGAAATAGCTGGACGCCAATCAGGCAAGGCAGTGCCATTTTATGAGACACCGTGTACGTTTCTCAATCCTTCGAGTGTTTTTTTTTCTTAGCCTGTTGGGGCAATAGTGTTGAGTGTTGTTGGTTGACATATTTGTCGGGCTGTTTCGTGGTTGCATAGCGAGCGCACCAGCTTCCTCCGCTATTATTTTCTTGACACATCCCTGGGAATCGTGAACCCAAAAAAGTTCAGTTGGGCGGATTATTGTGCGCCAGTCGCTACATTCTGAGCGTACTACCTACCATACAAAAACGAAAAGCAGTGTCTTTCACTGTGTTCGCCACTTTTGGAAGCAAGTGCAGCAGGGTTTTTGACGAGGGGTACAAAGCTTGATCAAACGTCGATTTCAGATAGAAAAACTCTTATACATGCTTTCTTTTTCCAAGAATCATATGCGCACACAGTGGTTATGAGACCTAAGAAATAGCCGAGCGCACTGCAGGCACCTGAGGCTTGACACTTACCCGCTTACAGTGATGAGGGGCTGCGAGGGCTGCAGGAGAAAGGAGGAAAAGATGCATATTACTTGTCAGTCCGAACGCCAAGGCTGTCGAGAAAAGTGGTGGCCGCAGAGATGGTCTATGCGGCGTTTCATAGGGACTTACCCAGAAGGAGCACAAGCCCCGCTGTGATATTCATTTTTGATGGCCAATCTGAAACAAAAGGCACGGGTATAAAACTGATCCACCAGCTCCACTTGGTGCACGTTCAACCGACGCCGCACGCACAGAAGCAAAAGGGAAAAAGGTTCCCCGGAGACAATGCGCCTGTCGTTGGATTCGCACAGGCAACAGTGTAGGTTACGCGAGGCTTTACATAAGGGTTTCCTTGAGGCTTTACGACGTGTTTTGACGTTCTCGGAGAGGAACGACACGCGTGCATTCGTGCGGTCGCTTCCGCCGAGCAGCACCGTTTTTTTCTCCCGCTAACTGTTGCTGCGACGCCCCACGTCCTCGCGCGCAAATCGAAGCGTGTTTTGATGATCACGACGAAATCGTACTGCTGTGAGGCTTGCGCAAGGAGGTAGCAGAACGTTTCCGTCGACGTGAGCTCCTATCTATCGATAACTCTGTACGAATGAAGCTGGGCGGGCCGTCAGATCCTCCCCTCGGAAAGTATGCAGCTACTATTAGTTCCTGATCTGAGTGCTTGGCGTGTGTCACCAAGGTCTCCGGCGCATCTTCCTCGATCACGTAGGCAGCGAGTCCCTGCTTCGACAGAAATAGTGTCCCGACTATTTCGTAACGGTTCTAAAGCAGCATCACGCGAATAATGGCATGCTCAGCTAAAGTGAGGCCATTTGCCAGAGAACGTGTACATTTGCAAGCTGCAAGGCGCCACGCTAAAAGCTCTCAAGCGCACTTTCTTGGAAGGAGGGGTGGACACACTCTCAGAACCTTATAAATGCACACAGCCTTACTTAGACGTGTAAAAGAGCGCTAGATAATCGGGACGAGTTTTTGTGAAACTAATCCTCGAAAGCGCTCGCATTTTTTTCATAGAAAACTAGGAAAAAAGAACAGCCAGGAGAAAGCTTTTATCCTGCCTGAAGCTACCAATATCCAGCCTGTATATCCAACTTTGATCCTACTGCAAAGAGGCTTTCCTCTGGGGGATTCGCAGTACGTCACAACTGCGCAAAAAGAGGGCTTGCAATCGCTCGATACGGGCTCGGCCGTGCCGCCGCCCGACGAGAGTGCCTTTAAGACAGTCCAAAGCGATTCGGTTCAGTGAGCGAACGCGTCTACAAGTGCCGCCGCAGCTGCATGATTAGACACCGTACGGAAAACTCACCGTTTGAGGTCACAAAGCACAATCAGGCAATTCGAGGTGGTGAAGAGAAGAGTGAATAAACAATTCAGTGTAATGCTTCGGGCACCAATCAGAGAAGTGAAACGTGCCGGGCGCCAATTTTCACGCTGCCTGTCTGAAAGCCTTGTTACTTGCATGCTAATCATTACTAATGGAAATGTTACGTTGCACACAGACATGGACGAAGGAAAAACACACGAGACACAGCGCTGATGAGTCTTGTGCGTTCTTCCTTCGTCCCCGCCTGATAGCGCTGCAAACTTTCACGATGCAAAACTAACAAGCCCACCAAGCCATGCTTATAACTTCGAATTCGACTACTTTAGTACCTATAGTAAGAAGCGGATAAGTCGCGGTGCGCGTGCACAGTGGTTTCTGCTGTGTATTTGGTGCTGCGTGCGCAACTTCGTGGCCGAATTCCTCTCTGGGGCCGTCTCACAGAGCTAGCGGAAAAAAAATGCAATATTCAAAACATGTGATTACTTGTAGCACACATTTTAGCTCACGCAAATCTGTTTAACAACTTCGTTCCACCCGCGGAGTTCATACAGGTTAGTCAGTTTCGTAGTTTTGAAGCCAGTGGTAACACATGCGCCTTTCTGTTTATATGATTTTACTAGAAATCACTTTGAGCTTAAGTGCTAATACCAGTGACGAATTTCATCAGAATGGCGTATTAAAAAAAATCTTGACGACATAGCGGGTATTAGTTATGTCAATTAGGCATACGATAAATTACGGCGAAATGTGATGCCTAAGCCTAACCTATTTGATATCAGTGACGAGATATTTGTCTCCGTACATTTGTTGTTGTTTTTTCGTTTATCGCATGCATATAAATTTTTATTCTTGACTGTAGTCGTGGTACACAATTACTTTGATAAAGTTTCGACTCTCGTATAATTGGAACAGCCTACTTTAGCGCCTTAATCAGTTTTGCCACCGTCCTTCTCGGACAACGGCAGCTTATTTGCGAGAGTAATCCGGTTCACTTCGGATAACTTACTACGCATAACTACGCACACCTTTTTCCTGCGGTGGCATTGAACTGAACCCGAAAGTGCGTGTTGCCCTAAGGCTGTCCCTTCCCTTTACAGGGCAGGAAAGCTTTAACAGTCGTCGTTGTCTTTAAGCGTTGGCTTTTTAACTTCCCGTTGCAAGCTACTGTAGCTTGGTGCTTTAGCAGAGTATATTCACATATAGGTGGCGTTAGAAAGCACTGTGACATGGTTTACAATGTCATGAGTTCTAATGCCCACTATGGCGATCACCTAACTCTGATCAAATGCCACGTGCTGTGACCTTCTTTAGGCGCTCATAAAGCGCAGCAATATATATATATATATATATATATATATATATATATATATATATATATATATATATATATATATATATATATATATATATATATAATATATATATATATATGTATATATATATATATATATATATATATATATATATATATATATATATATATATATATATATATATATATATATATATATATATACAGAGAGAGAGAGAGAGAGAGAGAGAGAGAAAGTCTTGCTTTGAGTGTGGCCAGTTAGAATCACTGTTACTTGACGCAATTCAGTAAAACAATCCAAGTTAAAGCTAGCATTTCGGCGCAGAAGTATATGTTTCTCCTATTTCAGTTCAGTGACGGTAACTCGGCTGAGATTCTAGGAATATTGACATTGAACGGGTCTGTAATGCGCAAGCAGCAAGCAAGTGATGTGCAGACGCTCGCTCACTGCTCGGCCGCTTTGGCACCACGTCGTTCAAAGGACACATACTGGGAATGCATTGATAGAATGGAAAAAAAAAGTTGCCTGGAATTACGGCAGTGAAGCTGTACTGAACGCAAGCTTTACGAATATACGAACTGTATCACATTTACAACGTGAATTACAAGCGCTGCACACAGATGCATATCCGCATTTCTATACCACGGAAGCTGCCGCCAGTGTTACTGATAAGCAAACATGCCGCATGTTATTATCATCAACTCTTCGTGAAAGCTAAGGCACTCATTGGAGCAACCACTTGCCCGCACACACAAACAACACCTTGAGCGAGACTACAGCCCTGGCCTGAGCCTGTCGGGGATGGCTGTGGAGGAAAACAGGACCTATCAGCCGGTGTGTGGCAGCTGAGAAACATTGGCGGCGAGTGGCAGATGTTAAAGGAAAAAAAGTGCCAGCGGTGGCCGAGCTCACCGTATCCGCGGATGTTGCTCGAACGGGTGGAGGGGGCCGAAAAAAGTGAAGGCTCCGGCTCCGGGACGCGGGCGTTTTATAGGAGTAGGGATCGGCCGCATCTTCTTCCCCGCGGCAAACCGGTTGCTTTTGTTTTGACGTGGCCACAAGCACTCTCCTCCTCGCGTCGCATGACGACGTCGTCAACGACGACGACGCCGGGTTCCCGACGAACAGCGCCCAGCGCGGCGCCGTATAGCGGTTCAAGGCCGGGGTCGCGCGCAACGCCCTGGCGCTGGCTGTCCCGGCGCGCAGGAACAATCGCGCCTCGCTCCCACGCGCGCCGGCTCGCGCTGTCCGCACCCTCGCTTCCGGACATCGCCAAAGCCACGTGTCCGCGTGCGTTGGCCACAGCCAGGTCCGGGTATGCGAGCTCCCGGAATGCGCAGAGAGCTCTCACTGTGGCTCGTAATAGAGTTTCTTTTTTAACCAGTGATGCCAGCGCGAGTAGCGGCAGCGCGGGGGCTGCACACGGATTCGCATTTTCCTGTACGCGAACGCACGCAGGTAAGCATCTATTCGGCCGCTCGCAAACACGGTGCGCGGGACGCCCGTTTCGGAACGCTCCCGAAACCGAACCACGTCAATCACGACTCACAGAAGTGTGTGCGCAAGCCGGCTTTCAAAGAAAATGCGACGTCAGTATACCAAAGCGCATAGGGCTGAAACTTGGCTTCTGTGCAGTGCGTAACGTCTTTTCAATGTATCGATAAAGACGGCTGTCTTCACCACTTAGGCTTGTCTGACAAGGGATGCTGGTTGAAGATTTTTTCTGTAGAGACCACTCTTTTTGGGGCACAGCTGCCCACACGCCATTGCAGATGGGGGAAACTGAGAGAGAATAGACGGATGGTCTAAGTGCGATTCCGAGACAGTGCCAGGACGAGTTTTCTGCAAACGTGTGCGACGACAGCCTGCTTCGTTCTTTCCTTCGCGAAGCAATCCTAAGTGCGGTCGGGGTTCCGCGGTAGTCCACGAGGTTTTGCTGGCTGAAAGAATAATACAACCTGTCACTTTTCAAGCACAAGAGTGAGGCAAAATAATTGCATTATTGGATCACTTTACTATCTCTGAAGGTAATAATTCTGGGGAGCTCATCAAATCCCGTTCTCTAGTTGTCAATATTCAGGTAGTTGGTCAGGAGTGCAGATATGTCAAGCCCAATGAAAGTATTCGGCAATACTACATTCGACATTCTCGTTTTACATCCGTTTTATAATTTTGAGTGTCTAGAACTTTTTCGTCGCGAGCTTTTCAGTGAATAAACTCGGTGGCACCTAGCATGCCACAGGTGCATATTATTGCAGAATAGCGCGCTTTAATAAAATACTAGCTGTCTAGAAAAAAATTCTTGTCTAAACTTCTCCAGTCTTGAACTGAGACTGTAATGAGTTATCCGTATAACCTTTCAGTGCCGTTTTTTTGTTACGTAAACAATATCTCAAGGAGACACTCCGGTATTATTGCCATGAAAGCTGTAAATAATTAGGCACTAGTTAAAAATAGTGCAATAGTTACTTCGTGCACATGACAAGGTTTCAGCACCGATTAACAAGAACTTGCGTGGCATTTAACAATTGTATGGTCAATTAGTTGCGCCGTGTCCGAGTAACCTGTCCGTTTAACGGGGAACACCAGCAATCTCGTTAAGTAGCTTTCACGATATATCATTGTTACCGGAAATTTCCGTACAACGAAAGTCTTCAACAGGCGTTTCCTCGACTGGGACAAGAGTCCCTCTAAAAAATAAAGAAGAAAATTTCAGGGGAAGCTTTGCAGCTCGTTATGCCGTTGAGCACAATTTTATGGGTTCGATTGCGCCACACTTCGTGTATTTACGTTACGCGTTAATAATGCTCCAGTAGGTGAAACAAAGACGGCCGAGCCTCGCATTCAGAGGTACTCGCGGTAGCAACTGTAACTTGATGGCATTACACGAGGTTGAGGTCTAAAAATAAACGAAGAAAGAAATAAAGCAGTTTTTGTGAGCTGCTGCAGTCCTGCAGTCTTTCTTGAGCGAACAATAAATTGGTCGCTTAGTCTTTTGACATCAAACATTTCTTTACCTTTTTTTTTTGTACGGGTGCCACATCTCAATAATGTGCTCTGGTAACAGCCTCGCGACTAACTATATAGAAGTGAGCATATTATTTATGTCTTTCTGTCTCGCTTACTTAAGAAAACGGACAGGAAGTCCTAAACTGTAAACAGCCGCGCTCACAGTGCGGCTTTTTCCAGTTTTATGGCGTGCAGTCGTGTCGCTGTACTGGGAGGCGAATGACGTTTGTTTTGTGCTTGATTATTAATTTTTATTGATTTCCTTATTTTTGCACTCAAAACTGAAGTAGAGGGATCATGGCCCTGCTGAATGAGGTGTTAAAAACAGCGCGAGCTTGGAGAAAAAATGATGCTGGTCCATTGTAAATAAGCGCCGCGTGTTTCCGGAAGATTGGTTTCGTTAGCGCTGCATAGGTGTAAAAAATGAAGCCATGTACTTCTATTTGCGCATGTGCAAATAGGTCGTCTGCAACATGGGCCTAGACATGCAACCGAAAATACGCTTGAACGCGCACCACACGGATTTAATAAGTAGCGATGCTTGTATGGAGGCCTTATAGTTTATTGTGCTCTTGCGAGTAATGACTAAACGTGAATGGACATTGGCTTTCTATTCGCTTTTCCGATTTCCTTCTTTTTCTACTCCTCGATGTAGTTTCCAATTTAGAAAATTGTGAGACGGGAACGAATGCGGTACTTCGTAACACTGCGAACGTGCAGCAGCTCAAGGCAGCCAAGAGTTATGGTCTCAATCCTCTCTTACTTCAAGGCTCACTTCATTTTGCCGCAGACAGGAAGAGCGTTGTAAGGATATCCGTACCCGCACTCCTTGCTCTTCCGCCTAAATGGCCGGGCCTCGCGATTGCTCCTAGAAGCGTATATACGTCTCCCATGTGGGCATCTTTAATGTTTGTAAAACCTGAAGCGGAGGCAGTATTCTCTCGATTTTTGTAAGAGTGCTTCAAGCTCCCATTCTTGCTTTTTTGTTTCGCTGTCTTCTGTGCTGCTTAAAGCCCACAAAAAGGTCTATGCGAGCTGAAACGCACAATAAAAAACAGCAACAACAACTCACTAAAATATATACGGCCGATCAGTCCTCAAGAATCTGCGTAGTTTGTGCACGATTCGTGCAGAAGTGGAGTTTTGCTCGAGGCACTGCATTACTATATTTACGGAAACGTAAAAACCATGGCCGCCTGACCTTTTAAACTGCTCTTCCGCTGTGCTAAACGCAGCGTCTTTTGTTCGTAGAAAACCACGCCTTTGTGCCTTATAAGTAATATTGGCAAGAACACAAAATTCAATTCTCATTATCTGCGCATGCGTATGATGGAAATGCCGTCTTGGTCGATGTGCAAGCACGTCACATAGACTTCGTAGAGAATACAAGCAATACTGGCACACGTTATAAGTGGGTTGATGGATCAATAATGGATCTCGTTGCTGTTTTGGATACGCATTTCCAGTATTTGTGCGTGTACTTTCGGGGCGCTCGCAGTGCGTGGCTTCCAGATTAAATTACACGCGCTTAACATCAAGCACGTTCAGCGGGAGCTCGTGGAGGTTTGAAGCGATGTCAAATCGTTGAACCGGCAACGTCGCTATCTCTGTCGCGGCAGCCTTGGAAAATACAGGTCGGAAGCGTTGGCGTCAGCGACGCGTTGCGTTCTACGATTTCACCCATCAACTAAACACGACTCACAGGCGTTGCTCGATCGATACAGGAGTGTTTGTGAATTCTCGTCGTATCTCAATCTGGCGTTTGGATGTGGCACGCTTGACTCCCTCGTGTTCACCATGCGGAACGCTGTATCCTTCAAACCATCACCTGTAGATGAGCGCGCGTAACAAATAACGCAGAAAAACTTGAGGATACTGCCGCTGCTTTGCTGATTCCAAGAAAAAAAAAAACAGGGCACGCAAGCGCGCAAACAAGAAAGCAGGCACCACAAAAAACAACCAGTTTATTGTGTCTTGGCTTGGTCTGTGTTTTCACGGCCTGCAGGCCTTTTAGAATGAATACTTACTAACCAGCTCAACGTTCTGTTATTTTATGCTTTGATTATTCATCAGACAAGCGTGCTGTCTAAGAACTGGTTAACAAAATTATTATTATTATTATTATTATTATTATTAGTAGTAGTAGTAGTAGTAGTTAAGCCATTGACATCAAACTATTTAAGGAAGTTTATTTTAAAGTGTCACATGTTACAGTCACATTTATTATTATTATTTTTTGCTGAATGGTGCGATACCATTCGTTACTTCATAAAAAGTGCTAAGACCAAAGCCATAAATTTGAATCGTTAACTTGTAGCGTGTCATTTTGATGGTCTGTGATCCCTCCAGTTTTGTTACGTTAAGCCTGCGAAATCAGGGATATCGGTGTTCTTTTTCATAGGAATGGACACTTTTCGGTTCTGACTAGGCGCGTCGCTATGCGCGGGGTCTTTGGTCTCTCAGCTTTGCTTGTAGAATATCTAAATAACTCCATTATATATCACTCCGCAAATTGTACGCTACAATATATATCCCTCAAATCGACCATATTCGCCTGTGATCTGGAATTGGATTTCTTAATGGAGGAGTAACGCCAATGAGCGCACCCAGAAAAAAAGTTGTAAGAATTTGCAATTATCACTGCACTGAAAATAACTCTATCTTGTTCAAGCATTGTTCAATCATTATCATTACCCTCACTTCACTGCCGACAAAATCACGTTGATCAGCAATTTCTTTTCAAAATTGTTAACAGCATCATATCCTGCCCTGAACTGCTCACTTACACTAATTTTATAATTCCACGTAAAATAACTGGAAAGCATAGACTGTTTCGTGTACCCACCTGCCTCGGTGAACACAGAACTGTTTGCATGATACCAAGTTAATTTCTTGATGTCTATGTTTTTATGGCTTAATTGTTCGCTTTCTACGGAACTTCGCACTGTTTCAACATCGCGTTGGTCATCTTACATATATTTTTTTTCTTTCAGAATACTTTGTCCGATCTTCTATTTTATTTTAATTATTAACAACCTTTCGT